TTTAAAAGTACCTACAGGACCGTTCTTGCGCGAGTCCGACTCGCACTTGGCCGATTTTTTTACTTTGCATAGACTTACAATCATCATTTTCAGACCATAATATATAGTTAGTTAATTAGTAGTTATAATTAATAGTTTCATCCAATTCAATTGTAGCTATTATACAGGATTTTATCGCACAAATTTTCAATGTGGTTCTTTAAGTTATATTATAACTTTTTTAATTATGAACCGATTCAAATGAAACTAATACAAAATGTTAAGTGAATCTTACTACAATGCATTAGGGAAGTTGCATCCAAATCGGTTAAGCTGTTTCTGAGATCAGCGCGCGCACACACAGACAAACAGACAAAAATTTTAACAATCACTGTTTTGTATTCTAATGCGTTGATAAAGGCCCTCAATAATAGTTTTTCTCAAATATCTTCTACGGTCAGTTACATTTTAATTATAAGTATAGATAGATATCCTTCTCTCTTTTTATCATATGTATCGTTTGACTATATCCCTACAATAAAGGTCTATGCTACTATGTAACTAAAAATAAAAATTGAAAAAAAAAATAATCATTATTTCACCCATTATTTTTATTTTTAATTTCTTCTTAAGAAAACGTATACCTACATAAACAGCAAATGTGTGTAATGTTTTTTTATATAAATATATATAGATATATATATATATATATATTATATTTGTTTTTTATCCGCACAGTTTTTGCTGCAGGTAGTATTGACGAAGATCTCGTCGTCGCAGGTTATTAGTTAATAGGTGTTATTTCTTTGCTAGTCTCTCTGCGACCGCTGCGTCTCTGTTCCTAATTGCCAGGTTGATGCCGCCATGGCTTTTTGGATAAGGCGGCCTGCTGCGTCGTCACAGGCGGCTGTGTAGTAAACACAGCTGACAGTGTGTCGGGATACCGCCACTACGGCATGCTGAACGCTGTCGTGCAGCCGTAGCTTGCTCACTTTTGTACGCATGAAATCGACTGACCCGTATGTTAGTCCTTGTGCTTCATGGATGGTGAGAACCCGCGAACCGTCGCCCGATCCATATCCCTGGTTGATAAGGGCCTCCTTTACCGTCTGAGTATATACTAGGAAAAGCGTTTCTGGAGGAGTTTTCTGTGTTTGCTCGTTGGAATATCTTTCGATACTCAACGAATGCACAAGGAATCTGGAAGAGTATATGCCACTGTATATTTCGATGAGAGCATATGCTACATCCATCGGGTTCCTATGCGTACACAGCAGTTCCTGACTGACGCCTGCCACTAGGTTTCGTCGAGTGTACTGCAATGAAAAGAGGTTTGAAGAGGTTTTCCCTGTCAATGTAGGGGAGTTAGTTAATGTCACCAATCAGCAGGATTTCTTTGGCTTCGCTCAGTCGCATTGCCACCACAATGGCTCCAAAGTGGTTCATAAGGGCTTGTTCGACCATGAGCCGTGTACAGGTCTTCTTGTCAGGCTTTTCGAACTCATTTACCAATACCGAAGCCATTGTTCGCACTTTGGTATTTGTACTGGCGCCGACGCGACTAGCAAGCTCCACGCGAAGATCCTTCGCCGCCTCTATTGTTGTGGTGATTACCATTTTCAGTATTTATTTATATATTTCAATTTCAGCATTTATAAAACATTTCTCGTTACTTACTGTTTGTTCGTGTAAAATTTCCGGTTGTGTTCTCCATTTTCTCGCTATAGTTTCACTTGATGCAAGCTGAGGTGTACATAACGATCTCACTGGGTATTCGACGTTAAGAGTGTCCCAATGGATTTGAGAGCGTTTTTTTAAATAGTTTGCTTGCATTTCTAATGAGTATTCTATTGTTGTCTTGTTGAATTGTTTTCTTTTTCGAGTTGCTTAGAAGTCTATAGTATATTATTGAGTTAACTTTTAGAACAGCGATAGCGTTGCCATGGAAACTTTGTGTTGTATAGCACATATTGACAAAGCTACACGTTACAATAATAAATATCTTTCCATTGTGGCACTAAACAACGCTCTATAAAACAATTCCTAAGGGTGAATGTATATTGGGTTATGACAAACAAAAAAGCTATTAGCGCTTTTTTGCTTGTGCGAGATAGTTTTATTTATTTGTGTATAAGACAGACAAACTAAATCGGGGTTATATATCGAAAATCATAAACACAGATTACGTTTGGTAAAAATTCGTTTAATTCTTCACAAATGACTGAAAATGTTATCAAAACACAATATACGTGTTATTTAATAACTAAGTTTAAAAATACATGATTGCAATAAATACGAATCTATACCTTCGCAGTACCACCACACGGTTTTTATTTTGACACTAACAGGGAAAGTCTAATAAAGATATATTTGCAAAAAAGTACATATGATTATTAGTGCCGTTAATATTAATTATATTATAACTATTGTATTACTTTCCTAATAAAATGGAATGTCTACCTGTGACGAAAAAAAAGTTTGACATGCAGACATACAATAAACACATCTCACAATTTTAAGATCGCTACTTTTTAATTTTACAAACGTTTCCCTAGTTCAGAATCGAGGATTCGAACCGAAGTTCAATGTAAATTACTCAAATAAGTAATTATTTAAATTTTTCAGTTCATAGTACTATTATATATGATAAATCTAGTTTATTGTAAATTTATTCAGTAAGTTTTTGTAGCGAATACGAATGGTTGTAAGTTAGTTTTAAATTTAGTGTCAAATGTTAAGTTTCCGTGAAAATACAAAGTGAAACAGTTTTGTGCTACAGCATAAAATGAGTCTCTATATTATAAAAACATATAAAATTTAAATGTGTGATTAGATTTTTAAAAAAAATGTTGTTACTACGTGAACGCTCGTCTTAGTAGAAGACTACAAGGCTGTTTCAAAGAATTAGGGCTAGCCTGTTTGTTACAACAGAAAAAGATTGATGATGGTTTGAAGCAATCAACATCTCTTAATTAATGAAAATAGTTATACTAATAATATAAAGCTTCGAAAACTAGAAATGTACTTATAGATAATACGGTATGAAAAATTCTTCCTTTTCTACTTTTTATCTGCTCTGCTTAGTGTAGATACTGCGAAAACTAAGAGGTAAAGGCTATTGAATGTAAGACATATTTAATTTAGAAATTTTTTTTAAAAGTGGTAAATTTATGGTAAAGCCATTTTACATACCGTATACTCATAGGCGTATATAGCGGGGGGCCCGGGTGGGCCGTGTCCACCCCAGTATGGTCTCGTGCCCACCCCAGGATTTTGGGTTACCTATTCGAAATTCTAGGCTGGACACCTATCCTTCATCGCCAAAAGCAGATTGAAGCCGAGCGAGGTGCAATGTTGATATTGAATTTCCCGAATTTTCTCTATTATAATATGCATCTACATTTAAACCTTCCACTTGCTATTCTTGCTTGGTTCCTATTGCTGAATATCGCCTTAAAATTCGTTGCGTTGTTTAACAGTTCTACAGTGTTGGATTTTTTTTTGTAGTAAGGGCCAAGGCCCACCCTGAAAAATATCCCTAGATACGCCAATGCGTATACTCGATATTAAAATTACTTCTAAGCTTGTAACTTTTAATCTCCCGGTGGCGATACTGGTTGGTAGTCCAGTCACATATTCAGACAATCAGCTTGCCATTTTAAAACTTAAAAATAATTTAAATTGTTTTAGGAAAATAATAAATTTTTTAACGTATAGAATGACGCCTTATGGTTATTTGGCGTGAGTAATGTAAATAATTTCTATATATTTTTATAAATAAAAACTAACAAATATACAAGGGTAAGGAAAAATCAGGAGTGGTTTCATTTAATTAATATTCTGAAGTACAAAGGTACGCCTTGCAAATGCACTCGAAAGTAAACGGTTGTCCAAAAGAGGCAAAACAATTAATCTATGGCGAATATTAATTAATTAAGATTTAAACACACGCAAGACTGATTTATCTGATTATGTTACGATAAGATGAATAAATTTCAATTACGTCGTCTAAATACCGAATGCTACATAAACAACGTTCAGCGCAATTTTTTTTTATTTATTTCGAGCGTAATTAAAAAATCTGTTCATCAGGCCATTAACACTGAGTCAAATACATTTCCTTAAGGTTACGTATAAATAAATTATATTAAGAAACGCCTCTACGAATATACAAAATTAATACAAAACTTACTATACTAATACAAATTACATCACAGTTCAATAAACAAGTTAGCGTTAAATGTTAGAATACAGACAATGTAAAAGAATTACAATTGACAGAACGCCGAGGATAGAAATAAATGTTAAGGGTCTTAAAATAAGGGTCTTAAAATTTATACGTAAAGAACTAAAAAACAACAATTTGGTGAGTTTGCTCAGGGTACATTTCGGATTTTAGGAACATGTACAGTGTACACGAATACAGTACACCTGATGATAGTCTACCTTTTTAAGGTAACTTTAACACTAATTGCCTAAATTTAAATCGAAGAGAACAACTCAATCTATGATAAATTAAAACAAGCACGCTAGAACATTGACAAAAGAAGCATGCATCCATGATATTCGGAAGATTCAATCGAGAATATACCAATCTCTCAGTCAAATGTAATATAAAAAGGTCACTTACACACTATCGGGTAAAAAAGCTACTTCATTAAAAAGTTATGCAAAGGTCACGAATGAATACATAGGGGTTTTAAAAATACTGTCTAGTTGAAATGTACTTATAAATAGGAGGTTAAGGTAGATTACAAATTCAAGAAATGCGCTTAAAAACATTGGAAAATATCGTAGTAAAATATGACTTTATAATTGGTAAGATGACAAAAATATAGTTTCTAATGTACGTTGTGCTATTAATGTAATGAGTTTCGATTTTTTTGACAATAATTTTTATCATAAGAACGTTATTGTTATTTATATTACGAATATATTGTTGATCTATTGTACGTTCAATGAAATAAGGCTAAGAGATTTCTGCCGCCTGAACTAAGATATAATATTAATTCTTTCGTCTATGGGTAAGACAGCAGTGCCTGTTGTGGCCATGCGATTTTAGCGTCTATTCTCTTATAAGCTAGTATGAAGTTTTGACCACTTTTCTCTGACATGACCTCTTGAGGGCAGTCGTTCTCGTTCAGCATTGTTTCTGAAAAGAAAATTTCATATTACTTATGTGTTCATTTTAATTAAAAAAAAAATTCTGCAGCACACAACTTTTGCAAAGTTGTTACAAAAATAAAGACCTCGTAGGTGGTGGGGAAGAATCAATAATTATCAATATTACAATGTCAATCATCCTCTATTAAAATGCCGTGATGTAACTTTTTGTAAAATGTGTAAAAAAATTTACAACAACCAAAAGAAAATTTGTTCCCAAATATTTTTTGTCTATTTTCATTAATAACTTTCCTATTTTTGGCTTAACAAATAAAAGTGTACCGAACCAAACTTTAAGAGGATATGATTTGTAACAAAAAATATTCTTTCAAATTTTTTGTGTAAATGATTTGCCCGTGTCTTTGTACAAAATGGCGGCTGTGGTACAAGGTGCTATCCCGCCAACATGGATATAACTTTACATTAAAGTCCTCTTGACATTCAAAAAATAAAATTTCGTGCTCTGACTTTTGCAACCTAAAATTTTAATCTTTAAATTTTGACTAAATAATAGAAAAGAAATGCTGAAATAGAACTAATAATAACATAATATACATATCTTATACACTTGTATATTGAAATATCAGCAGCGTTGTTATAAATTAAAATAAAAACAACTCTATAGCGCAGCTGCCAAGGCTTTGGCGGTCGCGGATTCGATTCCCGCACGGGACAGCCATTTGTGTGTTTGTCAACGTGAAATTTAACCATATCAAACGTCCTTACAACAGGATAACGTTATCCTACATTAAGGGAAAGTTTATTAAAAAAAATATATTCACCAGTAGTCTCCCACCGGTCTAAGCTCGACTGTGATTCAACAACTTTCAAACTCAACGGTGCCGGTCGAAGTACAACCGTGGATTAACAACTTGAAATTGCAAGACCGCAGTGGATACCCTGTCACCTTACATGACAGGGTTATGTGGGGTTCTTACCCACTAAAACCAACCGGTGGCCATCCCCTGTACGTTTGGAGGGACTCCGGGACCTCCCACGGAACGCGCCGTTGTCCCTCGGTACGGCGCGTGAGCACGCTTCGGAGAAGGATAGACCCTCCCTGATTCCCTCACCGTCTTGCAGCAGCTCGAGACCACTGCGAGCTGCTGCCAATCCGTGTCTCCTTTTAGTCGCCTTTCACGACAGACAGGGGACACCTTAGCGCTATTCTATGAGCCCGGGACTACAGGGTTGAGGGATACCTCAGCGCTATTCTATGATCCCGGGACTACAGGGCTGAGGGATGCCTTAGCCCTAGTGGTAACTTGTGGCTGCGACGTTGCAAGTGTCCACGGCCCTTCGCCTCGCTTTCCGTATAAAAGCAGCGGACGCGTACCCTGTCCGTCGTGCAGCGCGAAGAGCGCGTAGTCCTGCGGGTTGGTGATGTGGGCGGCGTGCGCCAGAGCGCGGCAGAGGTCGCGCGCGCGCGCGCCCGGCCGGCACGGCAGCGCCACGCGCCGGATCGAGCCGCGGCACTCGTCCGGCAGCGCCACGCGCACCACCGCCGCGCCGCGGCACGCCTGCGCGCACGAGCCGCGCCGCCACTGCACAAGCACCACGCTATTTGTATTGCATTTGTGTGACCGACTAGCTGCCGCCCGCGACTACGTCTGCGTGGAATATAATATAAAGACAGATACACATAAAAGTGTGTATATAAATTATAGACAACTAGCTGCCGCCCGCGACTACGTCTGCGTAGAATAGGCGGAAGGCGTAACATTCAGACAGAAAGACAGATATACAAAAAATATGTATATATCAATTATAGCCTATGTCTCATTCTTATGTATAAGCTATATTATTGTAAAGTTTCATTAAAATCCATTCGGTAGTATTTGCGTGAAAGAATAAAAAACATCCATCCATACATACAAACTTTCGCTTTTATAATATTAGTAAGGATGTTACGCTTTCCGTCCTTAGACTATTCATGCTTCATCGAACGCAGAACCGGCGGGCTAGCCAGAACCCACGGGTTCGAGGCCCTCCTCATTGGCTAGGGTCGCGCATGTACTCATGCGTGCGTTATTTATGGCATGTCCCCGATGGCCGTTGACTGTGCTAAGCACGACAGACCGCGACGGTTGATTTTGTGCGATTACATTTAACTGCTATTGGTGTGCGGATTTTTGAAGTTTGACATTGGCGGAATTGTGATAACTCACAGAGTGAGCCATTTATATAAAGACGAAGACCGTGATAGTTGATTAGTGATACTTGGTGAGGTTTCTTTTTTTTAAGTTCTGTATCGTAAAATTTTTACAATATCATAAAATAAGGGTAAACCGTAATCTGGAAAATTAGGAACCGTGATAAAAATGTCGAAACTTCTCTGGCGTGTCGTGAAACCGTTGCCTGACAGCGGCGATTCAAGCGTGACGCCGCTTTTGGGTTTAGAAAAAGCGAGTAACGAAAAAATAAATACATGCGATACCCCCTTCCACCCTTGCAATATTTTGTGATTTTTGCTGACCCACCCGCTCTTTCGAGTCTATCCAACCAACAAACACGACACACTCTACTGTAATACACGGCCTTCTTAAGAACGATGCACCGACAAATCGCTCACCGGCGCGTCGACGTCCGGCGGCGGCTCAGGCGCGAGCCGCTTCAGCACGGCCACCGCGGAGAACAGCGCGGTGAGGTAGTAACCGCCCTCGCCGGCCAGCAGCGCCGGCGGCAGCAGCCCGGCCATCAGCTCCGCCTCCAGCTCGGCGCAGACCAGCCGGCACCGGGCCACCGTCCACGCGAGCACCGGCAGCAGGTCGTCCGCGCCGACGGCGCGCTCGCCCCGCATCTGCAGGGGGGGGGGGGGGGGGACTCCATAAAACCAGTCAAATCATTTGATTTAACACAGTTAACATTGTCGTTTTCTAATTAAACTTTTTTACAGTGTGCTCTATGATTTACATATTTAATAACAATTTATTTATATTCAACTCTTTATATGAAAGCGATATAGATAGTAGATCACCTACCGCATTAAACATAACAGAAATAGCTGCCAGGAGATTTTCAAGTTTGTCCAATGGCGAGTCAGCTTCTTGCATTTTAAGGAAATGTTTTGAGATCACTGCCAAGACAGCTGACGACGGCACTTTAGTCGATTCCTGTGGGACAAGAAAATAAAAGTTCTTTTATGTGTGCCTTATACTAGTTTCGTTAATATCTGTAGCAACAGTTTGCTTAATCTTTTACGACCTTGAAAGAACCACCTAATGTTAAATGTTTGCCCATATCCAGTTTAAAATAAGAGAGAGAAGATGAAAATGAGATCAAGCACCAAAACTATTTCAATTTGATAATTCAAAGACCTGAATAATATAAAATAAGGTTAGTAGTAATAAGTTTGGCCATGGATTAAAATCCGGTTAAAAGGACCACAAAGTCATTTATATAATAACGTTCTACGTTTACGTAATACGTTTATTTAATAACGTTCTCTAAAGTCATATATGATAAATTACATTAAATTATAGCCAGAAATAAAAGGCAACTGCAGAGTTACAGCAACACGTGGCCTTTACTAGAGTCCATAGTCTAACAGTCAATTCGTTAATTTACAGTCAGAATTTAATATTTGAAATTACAGTGAGAAATTATACAAGTTGGTAGTTAGGAGTCACAGCGATGAAAGGTTAAATTCACGAAGATGTGTGTTAGTTGGGGTTGTAGGGTCCCCATTCTGGTTATATTAAGCCATACAAAGGCAACACTGCGCACACAACGTCGGTGTCGTAGTATGGTCACATTTCTCTCCGAGCGGCAGGCACCCCATGGTGTCTGGCGCTCAAGATATGGCTCATGATGGGTGCTGTGCTAATTTTATTACACAGCATTTTCGTTCGTCATTCGTGGATTTTTAATTCGTACCCGTTCTGTCCAGGACTGCCACTCCCTCGATTTGGTAATAGGGGTCCATACAGGATGTTCCCCACGTTAAAATAAGGTCACATATTCTGGTGATATTAAACCTTTCAACGGCAACACAGCGCACATAAGACTAAGAACTGGGAGTGGCGTTCTGCGCCGGGATCCATAAGGGATTTATTCACGTTAACAAATAGGTCACATATTCTCGTCATGTTATACCGTTCAACGGCAACACAGCGCACACAAGACGGAACCGACCTTCACGCCCAGCTGGAGGGGGGTGGCGTGCTGCGCCCGCTCGATAGCGGCGTGCAAGCGGCGGAGGTCGGGCGCGTGCCACGCCGCCAGCTGCGAGTACAGCCGCCCGCGCAGCGGACGCACCACTAGCCGGTGCATGACCCCCTCGAGGATCGCGTCTAGGTTCAGGAACTCCGTCGGCTTCAGCTGCGATTGAAACAGTGACGTGGTAGATAGACGCAGCTCAAGCTTTTACGAGTTTCGGCATTAACGAGTTAGACAGATGGAAACACATGTTTAATCTCCAGCGTTTTACATATAGTGATCGAACGAGATAAAACGCTAGACGATTGAAGTCCTCATTCTTATTTCCCGTGCAACAGCTGTACCGTGCTTTGCACGGTGCGTGACCCTACCACAATATTGTACAACAACTAAAATAGCTGTTCATATTATTGTTAAAATCTCAAAGTAGAACAGTTTTCGTTATTTAGGTTTTCAAGATATTTATAATATCGACCTAATTTAATGTGCTCACCTTTAATCTTTCTTTTTCCACTTCTTTCTCGAACTCTCTTTCTCCATGTTTAACAAGATAATTCTTCATGCCGGACATAAATTGTCTCATGTTCCGCATCATTATCTGTAAGTTTATTTTTCATTTCAAATATAAAAAGAAAATACAAAAACACCCCAGCACCGAAATATCAATTATAGTAGAGTCAAATGCTTATCATAAAAAAATATTTAGATGATTCAACAAAGACAGTGGCAGTGTTTCAGTGCTTGCTTAATCTTCCATATTTCTGTACATTGATTTTTATATGTGGAGCCGTGATAACTCATTGTTCGGGCACTCGTTTTTAATACATTATACTAGCATAATTTCGAAATAATATTAAAAAGATGTATAATGTCTGCCAATCCGCAGTGCTGGACCCTTTGTACAGAAGAGGACTTTGCTTAGCATGGACATGTATAGGCTGATACTTTACTTTTATTCTTTTTAATGCTTAGCAAAGCCGCAGACGGGGCACAATGCTGTTGTCCAGCAATTAGCTGTGCTTCTTACCAACTAGCTGTGCCCGCGACATCGTCCGCGCTGAATTTAAAATAAATAAAATTTCTAAAATTGAAGTAGCCTAAGTCACTCCTTATTACATCAGCTATCTGCAGGTGAAAGGCTCGTCAAAATCGGTCCAGCCGTATGTATCAGAGATTAGTCGGAACAAAAATAAAAATTATAAAACATGTTATTTTGTTACATGTACCGTGTATACATCCATATGCATTTAGTAAAAAGCGGTTACTTTAATATTACAAACAGACAGTGCAATTTTATTCATCTGTATATTTTAGTATATGTACCGTGTATACATCCATATGCATTTAGTAAAAAGCGGTTATACTATTACAAACAGACCCTCCAATTTATCTGTAGTATGTATAGATAAGTGGCTGCGTTACCTGTGGGCAGGTCTCCTTCGAGTCCAACGTGCAAGCGATGAAATTGTCCACGTTCTGCGCGAACGTTGTGCTCTTGTCTTGCGCTAGATGCAAAGCGTACGCCCTCAAGGCCGCGCCGGCGCCCCTCGAGGTGCGGCCGCCGCGGAGGGCGCGCACCCGCCCCGCCGCTGCTTGAAAGCAATTGAAACATTTTTGACAATAGGCACAAATACAGACAATAGACCACTGGACACTTCCTGATTCTATATTATACTATACTAGCTGTTCAACGCGGCTTGGCCCGCGCGGTCAAAGGGGATTAACAATGATATTTTTTGTTATACACCAGAATAGCTCGCAGATGGCAAAATTTTTTCCTACTTACTTGACACTTATCGTTATATTATGGATAATTCACATAATATCTTTATTAATTATAGCCTATATGTTATTCTGATGTATTAGCTATATTATTGTAAAGTTTCATTAAAATCCATTCAGTAGTTCTTGCGTGAAAGAGTAACAAACATCCATCCATAGTTACAAACTTTAGCATTTATAATATTAATAAGTATAAGTAGTAGTTAGGAAGTAAGGATTCAATATACAGATATCCCATAAAATTTTTGATACACGTTTCTTAAAGACACCGATTAGATCAATGAACATTCTTTTGAAATGTCGCGTACCTACCTGTAATCCCTATTATTTGTCATATATCATAGTTTTCCTTCAATCTATCTTTATGAATATTCCATTCATCATAAAATGCCTGTTTTTATCCCTATGGCTATACCTGTTTACACCATGTATCAGGATTAAAAGATAATAACCTTAACCTTACTAGTTACAGAGGGAATAAAGTCAATATACCTGTTGACCGAAACGGATTAGGCTAACTGAGGTATGAATATAAAACTGTTGGGCCCCGAATCTTGCTTCGTGTAAATGGGTAATTCTAAATTTAAGCAACATTTTTACTTGTAATCGGGATATGATATCGCGTCACATTACAAAATATGAAAATTGGTATTTAGGGTTGAAAATAACACCTAAAAAATCACAATTTAAAAGTTAATGACTTACACATTATCGTAGCAAAAAAATAACTGGCTCCGTTCGTATTCGGACAAACTGGCTTTTAAAGTAAGGCTTAGATAAATTGGTCTAACTAAGTCTACTATTTTACTAATAATATTAAATATATTTTGTTATTATAATTGTTTTACGAGGTTAAAATATTGCGTTGTTTCATAATATTTTATGGTTACAGATTACTGTAGCTGTTAGTTTTACACGTGTACAATATTTTGTCCTTTGATAAAACAATTACTAGGGTATTAACTTATGCTTGTAAATGTATTATTAATAATCTTTAAGAAAACTGTTTGTCTCTAAGTGATACTTCAAAGGATTATTTTAAGGCCAGGAGGTAAGTTTATTGTATTACTATATATCTTATCCTTTAAACGAGCAATTCTTGTATACATATATAGTACCCGGAGGACCGAGCCTTGCTCGGTTTGTTTTTTTTTTGGTAAATCGTGTATCTTGGAAATTACATTTAGATACAAATTATTGAGTAATGAAATATGCATAATATTTTTCGATCTTACCGACGTAATAGTAAGAAAATACGAACTGATGTTTTTCACAAAAGAAAGAACTTTAAAAAAAAAAAAAAAAAACATAACAAAATAACAAATCGACAAAAAATTAAAAATAAAGAAAGCAATGATCTGGAATCGAAAAAAAGTAAAAAAATAAATGTGTAAATGATCGTGACGCGAACCACGGCCGTCTGTTTTGGGGCCGCCCGATTACCGACCGAGCTATAATGACATTTTCTCTTGCGGCGAAATATACCGTCATATTCGAATTATATTTTTCATTCCCTGAAAACAGGGATAAAAGGGCATTTTCTAAAAATGAAACAAAAAACAAACCGAGCAAAGCTCGGTCCTCCGGGTACTATTATATTATATTACTATGTATAAGTATGTTTTATCATATTTTATGTATTTCAATTTTACCCCAACTCCGTTTTGAATTATTTTTTTATGTCTACTAAACCATATTTTTAATATCACTCAGAAGTTGAATTTGCAGAAAAATAATAAAAAAAAACCGAAAAAAACATTACCTACACAGATACGATTGAGTGAAATCGAAATTTTCATCTTGTTGTTTAGGCACCTCGATAATTTCAGAATGGGTACATTTAAGGCATGTTTTAATTCTTTTATACAGACGCCTCCAAATGCTACTAATTGCATCTATGAATCGACGCAATGGATTCTTCCGTCGTTCCATTTCAACTTCTTCCTCGCACAAATCCCTGCAATGGCAGTCCGGAGGCTTCGCCACGACCTCCACTAGTTTCTTATTAGCACCCCTCTTTCTAAGCACCTTGCACAATCTTGTTAACGACTCCTTCTTCGCCAGATGCTGTTGGAAACCGGGCTCTAGTAATTTCTCCCTGGTAACGAACACCCAATCACTCTCCAGGACGAACTCGGTGAGGTTGTCGCAACGGAAGTTTTTTATCGTCGTCAGCGCGAACACTTCGTCGCCCCGGGGCGATATCGGCACTTCCGGGACCTGAGGAGCCCTATGGAGTGCTTCGGGGACCTGAGGAACCCTTTGCAGTGCTACGGGGACCCGAGGAACCCTTTGCAGTGCTTCGGGGACCTGGTTGGCCCCTGTTTTCGGTTTCTGCGCTCGGTCCTTCCGAGATTCGGGCGGCCTTTTAGTCTCTGTATTAGTCACCTTCGCGCACTTTCCTGAGAACAATCTTCTGAACCACTTCATGACTGATCACTCGGCGGTTCCTTCCCGCGTGCACGAAAGACTTGAAACGGTGATTTCTCATTCACACGACGTGGGCCGCTTGCGGTAATGAGCGTCGGCGAGCGACTGAGCGCGTCGCTAGTCGGCCGCGAGATTTCCCGGCACGCGCAGACCTTTACCCTTTCAAGATTGTTAATTTATTTACATAGCAAGCGTTACGATAACGCCCGTGCCGCGGTCCCATTGTTCGCGTTCGAGCGCAGAGTTAATTAACATCATAATAATCGTAATTATTCGTAATGATTCATTACTTGTTATCGCACATGCGGCCGTAATGTGGACTCGCGGCGATGTGTGAACTATGTCATGTTTATAGCGGACTGTCCTCTATCAGCGGTACTTGTAATATTTTTATTGCTGTCAGAGAGCACCGAGTCACGGGCACCTGTTCGTGTTTTACGATAATTATGTTTACTATTACGAGATTATGTTCAACACGCATTAACATTTACAAAACAATGCAAGGTAAACAAATAAAATGTAATCTAATTAAATAAATCAGTCTAAACCTTTTCTGTATATTAACATGTTTTTTTGATGTTTAAGTACTACACGGTCGTTTTCTACATTTCCAAATAAAATTTTATTTATTATCCGCAATAACATAATATTTAAAACTTTTATAATAATTGTATTATCATTGTCTACCTTGACTCTATTTCGTCGTTTTTCTTAAATAATAGCTAATAGTTTTTTTTGTAAAGAAAATAATTTTTTGATAGTGATCCATTTTACACAAATATTTTAACAAAATATTCAAGAGAGTTGTTAAAAGATAAAGTAATACATATTTTAATAAATAAAGTTAACTATTAGTTAATAATTGTTTATCAAACCAAATTCTTAATAAACTTTATGAACTCCGCGGAACCCTACATTTAAATTAAATACCATAATTCCTTAACTAATATTAATGTTAAACATCGTATTACATTCGTCAGTCACCTTTATCGTTTGCTAAAGCATCAGAAATGTTTATCTGGTTCATTAACTTTAATTATAAAGTGATTATGATGTTTTGACGGTTGCCAAAAATAAACAACAAAAGTATTTCTGTCTGTATTAATTACCGTAAGTACTAATAATTGCTGTGATGAACTTTTTGTTTCCCCAAAAGGATAAATTATAACTAAGTATGTGATTATGCATTGTTTATAATCACTACTGCTATGGATAAACTGCGAGATCAAAGCTCGAATTGCAATCTATAGACTAGCAACTACAAGTTGTTAATCTAAGAGCAACTGTTATTCACCGTATTTTAAAGCTAAGGACAAATGTCTGCGTTTATTGTTGGAAAAGAAAACAATATTAGATCGTGTATTAGACCTTAGTTTCGTAATTTTACCATCTCGTTCTAAATTTGTAAAGCCGAAATTGAATAAAAATATAATTAATTTATCGTAGACTATCAGTTCCAATAAGTTTGAACAAAAAAGTTCCTGTAATAATATATTGTAAATACACGAACATTGCATTGTGCACGATATGCAGTGCAACTTGCTTCTTTAATATATAATAACCCGATATAAATAATATTTTTGTAAATCAGCGTAAAGACATTAAATGCAATTGCAAAAAGTTTGTATTGGTTGCCATGATAATATTTCACGGCTTGCCAAAACCATGCATGGTGTTTACTTCGACAACTATATTCATCATGTAACTTTTTGAGTCGGTTTTCCGCAGGCATCGTTAAAGTTATACTCATATATTTTTATATAAGCACCAAAAGAAGTATAATTAAAAAAAATAAGAAATAAAAGAATGAACTTTTATTCAAGACTAGCTGCTGCCCGCGACTACGTCTGTGTAGAGTAGGCTGAAGGCGTAACATTCAGACTAGAAAGACAGATATACATAAAATATGTATATAAATTATAGCCTATGTCTAATTCTGATGTATAAGCTATATTATTGTAAAGTTTCATTAAAATCCATTCAGTAGTATTTGCGTGAAAGAGTAACAAACATCCATCCATACATACAATCTTTCGAATTTATAATATTAAGTAAGGATTAAGGATTTTCTATAAACTCACCTAGTAAGGGATCTAGACGGTCTCTGAAGCTCTTCGATCGCGACACTCCAGTGGGCCCCCTTCTTGGCACTGGTGAATCCCACTCGCAAGGTTCGTCCTTTGAAAAAAAAAATTAAATGTATTTTATTTTTTTATCTAAATCTTATATTCATGTCAATCACTTAATTTTATACGTCGTTCTTGATTGTTTAGCCATTTAGTTGTCGGAAAAAAAAATAATTTGAACATGAACACGATTTTTTTCAGGCATGTTCTCATTATTAAATCAGACTACTAAATCAGATAGCGAATTCCAGTGTCAGTAAAATAAATTAAATACAAAAAAGTCTTAGTTATAAAATAAAGTCTTAATAGAAAATAATATTGAAGATTGAAGATAATAACCTCCAGTATTATCTTTCAATCGGTAAAGAGTTAAAATAGGAGTCATACTATCTCCAAGTATTAAGGTGAAGGTCGCAAAATATTATTTCTATCATAATGAGACATTAAGATATAATGTATATAATGTCTATTTACGACTCAAAACAAGGGAAGTTCTAACGTGCAAATTATTAGTTATTTACACGAATTAGTCCAATCGCATTGTACACATGTTAATAGTCGTGCATTTGTAGCTCTGCTCTTTAGTAAGCATATATTAAAGGCCGTCTAGATTGCCCTTACACTATGTATAAATGAATTGCGATCACAATGAGCCATTAAGCCATTAAGATCTCCAAGAATTCCTTTTTGACATCGCCTTTCATTTATGGAAACACTAAGCTTAAATCGTGTTCCAAACTGATGATGGACGGATACATAAAATTTGTTAGTTGAATTACGAGTAAACTTATGTACTCAATATACACAACAGTTTTTGCATTTTATGTAGTACTAAAAATTTCACTTAGAGGTGTGAAAGAATCATGTAGCTGAAGCATTAATGTTTTCGTTACGGGTATAACACAATGGAGTAGTTAACGTTATCTTTCGGTATGTAATTGACCAACATATGTGATAATACATTATGTATAGAGGAGCGATACGGCGCAGACTTTACTCGCACCGAACGTATTTGATCAAGTGACCTAAAAACGTTTTACTTTACGACGGACGAACGTTTATAAAATATGGAGAAAAAAGGAAGTTAAATTATTCAGTGTAAAAGCTTAAGTAAATTTAGTATAAAAAATAAACTTAAAACTTTATACATAGTTTACACTGCCATTTTGTTTTACAAAATTAAATTATGCATCAGCTTTAAAGCGTAAACCCACCACAAAGTTATGTATGGTAGAACTTTGTGGTGCTTTTAGTGGAGCCATGATAATGATCTATGTATTTTTTTCGTCTTTTAAAATGAAGCATATACATACACAATATTTACATTAATTATTAATACTTATGTTCTTCAGGTTAGTTCTAATATGGCTATTACATGGTGGAAGGCCTAACTTGGGCACCTGTTAAATTGATTCCCTAAAAGTTTCTAGCAATATTTTTTAAAGATTTTTTCGAAGAAGATTACAAATGATCGAGTCTCAAAATCATGTTTGTTACACATGATTTTGATAGTCTTAATTTTGATACACTTAATACTTAATATTGAAAATGTTTATTATTTAATTAAACATGTTTCATTTTTTTAAATTCTCAAGCGTTAATTGCCCGAAAAAAAATACCGTACCAAAAATAAATACATGCCCGCTAAAATAACATGATGAATTTTATTTTTTTAACACCGATATTTTGTCGAAAGATAATTAAATAATTGTTACTAATTCCACTTTCGGAAAGAAAATCCCATGCTACGGAGATTAGTTAAACTTTTTCAGATAGTGGCAATTATTGTCATGATCATTTTTTTTCTGGCAACAAATAATAATCAATATATGAAAATAGCGACATAAATCTATTTGCGATTACTTCGACCAGCGTAGTTAATTTAGTATAAGGGCAACATTCTCGAGTAATATCTTAGCTTGGACAGTAAATAAGCGATATAAGGTACGCAAGAATAGGGTCACAACTAATACAATTTATGACACTTTATTATAACGACTAATTCGTAATAAATAAACAACTATCAGAATGGCTAATCGGTTTCGAATTTAGCGCATTTGTTGCATTGAATATATATTGTTGCATAAAATATATTTGGTTAATTAATCTTTTAAGGTCGTTCGTCATTGTTGTCACCGACCAACAAAATGACCTATTTCGTATCTGACATGTTCACTAACCGTAATGAAGCATTGCCGGCATTCGTTACAAAACATATTTCAAATCAACAAAGCTAATATCACGCAATACTAGTTCATAATTAAATAATTTTTCAGTTTGTAGCCGCATTTAACATTTAAAAATATACCTCGACCTCGAAGTGGAAGTGTTACACTTATCTTTCGTCTGGTAAGTGAAGTAACCGGGGCCCATTTTATTAAAAGGTCTCGACGCATCTGCGACCCAATAGGTGTTGCAAATGTCCAAGGGAGGTGATCTAACAGGTCGCTTGCCACCTTATCACATTTAAAAAATCCCTTGGTCATCTACAATACCTGCGGGGTTTCAGATTTGTTGAGCCTTAAAAAGAGTGGGCTACGATTAACTCTCTTGCTAAACGAAGCAAAAGTATAATACCTCCATTCCCCTCTTTTTTAAGGTCATGATATCCCCCCTCCCACCCCGCCCGGAAATTCGTGCAACAGCAGATATGGCTACGTAGCCTTAAGAAATAAGGACCTATAGGGTTTTTAAATTTACCGAAAAGTAAATCGTTGTTAGAGTGGGTGTTTTGTTTGTCATCGATCTCTTGCAAATCTAAGTCATTCACGGGCTATGCAGTAGCTCTTATTTCATATATGGACGGCAGGCTCGTCCGGGACGCACCACAGCCTCACAGAAGACCAGCGTGAAGTGGAAGTATATACTTTCGAGTTTCGTTTTGTGAGTGAAGGAGCTCGCTTTTTTAAAAGCTTGTGACGCATTAACGATGTGTCAAGAGTTGTACACATCTATGAGCACAACCCTTAACAACAGGTGAACCTCTAGTCAACTTTGCACATAAGTAAAACCGCACTGTTGTTACGATTTTTTGCTATCTCTGAAGAGTGTTCATATTATATCACTGCAATTCCTACCAGGGTTGTAACGTTCTTAAATTGCAGTGTCGTTCGTTGTGGCGTTCTAAGGGGGCGGCGTTTAATCAACAGTGGACACCTTCCGGCCAGTGATGATTTTAATCTGTTAATCCTGTTCAGGGCTTTCAGAATAAGATTAGGGTATACCCTGCCGCATAAGGCGGCTTAAAGGGTCAGACCGGGGCTCTGGTGGTGGCCATCCTAGTTCTCTTCAATGGATGCTACCTCTCAAAGTACAGGAACGTATTAAAAAGTGTGTTTGTCTCCTGCGTACCCATACCCCATACCCCTATTAAAGTAGTTTTTGAAAAATTCTTCCTATTAAAATATTCTTGCTAAATCTTCTTAAATAAAAAAAATATTGTAATGGACTGTTATTTTAAGTGATGCATATATTGAATACTTACAATCTCGTAGGCTTGCTGTCCATTACTCGGTGGTATAAGGCCATCCCACTGGGAACTGTCCCAGGGCTCTGAGAAGACTGTGCCATCGTCACTCGCCTGGGAAGAAATGTAAACGTGAACGCTTTGAAATACATAAAAAGATTGGAATTTAGTAATAATAAATTCTCAATTTAATTTAAGCCTAAATTTAAAAAGAATTCTAAAACACCAGATTTACTGTAATGTAAAATGAGTATGACATAGCAAAGAACTTTATAATGATTTTTTTTGTTTATTTAAAAAAATTGCCCTCACTGTAGGATAATATTATCCTGTGTTAGGTCAAACACCCAGATGAGAAACAACTATCTGTGGGTCGCACAAATAGTTGTCCCATGTGGGAATCGAATCCACGACCTCCGACGCCGAAGCCAATACCTCGGTAACTGCGCCACGAAGTCATCAAATTCTTGTAATAAGTTATATTCAAATCTTATCATTATTAAAAGGGTAGTATGTAGGGTAAGTCTAACACTTCCGTGAATGCTGCGAGTATTTTAAATGTCGGAAATGTGCAGACACGATAAAATTTCTTAAAATTTACTTAGTTAATGTTAAAAGCGAATCTTAGGATTAAAAAAATCGTAAAAATAATAGTCGTACACTCAATGCATGTTAAGATCATCAGAAGTTTGTATTTAGTCCCATGTTTTGCTGTTCCTTGTATGATAACTGTAATAAGTTGTACACATCCTATTAATAATTAAACGTCTCTTGAACTTATTAAGTAATTGTGTATAATTAAAATTTTTGGTATGTACTGAAATACGGGAAATCGTACCGAGTACATACCTATTTGGATTCATGTCTTAGATATATATTCTTTTAATTGTTAACATAACTGTGTTTGCTGTTGAAACTAAATAAAAATATTCATATTCATATTCACATTCATATTCATAATTGTGTCATAATAAGTACCTGTTCAGAAACAGGTCTGAGGTCGTGAACGTTGTCGTAACAAGAGGCGCGCGGCGGCGAACGCACTTCTTCGGGCAACGCGACCGGTTCAGAATTAAGTCTAAGTTCAGGAAACCTGTAGAATAAAATAGGGTGTTATTACATTAGTCATACAAATAAATAGTCACACTAACATTTTTAACATTTCTAACTTTGTCATATAAAACTTTTAGGTACATGTAATATTTAAAGCTTTCGTATATTTGTGTCTTCAAAACTCAAAAACTAGCCAATGGATTGCCTTAATATTTGTTCAAAACAAAGAAATTGAACGGGAGAGTATTTTTATATACTTTTTATTCTGAAGTTCTGACGAAAACGATAAAAAGCCACAGCGAGGAGTACATTAAAATAATGAAACGGTGCCGTACAAATATATGTTATGAAACGACACGGTATCTAGACATGAAAATAATCTAAAAAGCTAAATTAATATGCAAGATATATTTTCCCATGAAAATTTCATAAGCAGAAGAACCGTATGGCTATTGCCGCGTGTGGAAGTATATTTAAATTTATCCACGTTTTCTGTGGTAAAAGAAAGCAGTGAAATTTGCATATTATAAACATTTTTGATCTTTTCAGTTTTAATTCATGCTATCCATGCCATATAAAGGGCTGTATGCGATAGTTTTTATATTTATTTATTTTTATTATACTCAGGAACTATAAATTTGTATCAACGTAAGCGATTCTATAACTTAAAAGAAAGTAGCAACTCACTTTTGCGCTACAACTTGGTGTACGGTCAGATGTTGTACCCCCTCGTCAACGCCGCCCAGTCTTGTCTCTTGTTCGGCCAGCGATGGGAAAGTGCCGTTCTCACTGTTCGAGCTCTCGTCGTTCTTGTCTGTAGAAATCGTAGTATAATTAAAAATACATAATATTTTTCCTCACAATTTTTGATATATGCTATTCAAAGATGGAAAAACCGTAGCATAATTTAAACATTAATTTCTTTCGTTATAGTATTCGTACAACTTATAAGAATACGTGCTAACCAAAACAAAATGACAAAAGTAACACAATCTATGATATCGTGTGATAAACTGGACTGCAAAGTTGAAATGTTGAACATTGATGACTTTGAATAAAATAATTGCAGTATATACACATGCACACTTGACTGCTGTGTTACTCAGACGATTTTAAATTTAGAATAATATGAAAAAAGAAAACAAACTGCACCATTTGTTTTTAATTTATACGCACTTATAAACTGCCAGCTGGAATCTACGGCCCACGGTTGGTCGGCTTTACCGGTTGGCGGTTTATTGTTAACCCTCGGCGGCTCAACTGGACGCATTTTCGGTTTGCTCCGCAACGACACAAGGTTGTCCACCGAAGTTGAGGTATTAGGCGACGAGGCTGTAAAGACAGTGAAATCGATTAATTAAATTATTATATTAATATTCTATAATATCCTAGTCTATATACCTATTCTTTTGGTATATTTATAAATATAGGTGACGTAAAACCGCAAGGAATAAAATCAATGAAGGTCAAAGTTATTTGGTCACTATTAAGTAAGACAGTTATTTATAATTGTTTAAAATTGTACATAGTAAGTAGTCCTTAATTGTTTAAGTTAAAAAAATACAAAAAATATCCAAAAACCACCACATAAGTATACAGCTGAAGATATTTCTGTTTCGCTGTATCCATAAATAAATAAAAAATTATCACGGTTCATGAGATTCAGCCTGGTGACAGACGGATACACAAACAGACAGACGGCGGAGTCTTAGTAACAGGGTCCCGTTTTACCCTTTGGGTACGGAGCCCTAAGAAAAACAAAGACATGACTTACGTGACAGTTCCTCAATGCTGTGCATATCCCTGAGGGGATAGTATGGATGATTTTGGTTTGGCGGTTCGGAGTACCTCTGAGAGACGTTAACCCCTACTCGTAATAGTTTCCTTCGTTGTACGGGCGGTAAGGCAGCCTGAAAAAACAACAGATGAAAATCGCCCACTATTAACTTTGATATAATTTTTAGTTAAAATCAAGTTGGTGACACTGACAGCTTTATTGTTAACTCTCTCTGATTTCTCTCTTCATAATATAGTACATGAATGAGAAAGTGACATTTACGATTTCAAGGTGTGACTTATTTTGTTAGATTCATAAATTACTTTATTTTCACATCGAAGAAATTATTAACGCTCCCGCTATGCAACATTTGGAATTGGAACATAACAACGTTTGAATTCGTAATACGTCAATAAACGTTGTAGAATACCATCTACTATGATGGTATCTCTTTATATTATTTACACAGTTAATAAAGCAGCATGTATAAATGTAGTCTTACTTCTTTCAAAGCGTCGACAGGATCGGCATAAAAAGGACTCCCGGTATTGTCTTTTTCCGAATCGTCAGTATTTTGATCTTTTGCACAAATATCTTCTAATTTAACAGTCTCCATACTTTCAGTCCGATAATTCTCTCTATTTTTAAGTGCCGCTTCGATTTCTTCAGTTAGCTTCTTGTTCATGTTTAAAACGATGTTAAGTTTGTCAGGTCTTTTCGGAACAATCTCCCCTTTGCTATTGGTTGTGGCAATTATTTCACAGGAACCGTTGAAACTCTTCTTAAGCGAGCTATCGGAGAGATTTTTCTTCTCGATAAGACTCTCAGTTGAGTTGATTAGCTGAATATTTTCCTTTTCTAATATCGACTGAGTGCTTTTAGTAGCATTTAATTTTGCTATAAAAAGACCATATTTAATTAATTTATTAAAAAGACACATAGATAACTTAAACCAAAAAGTTACCTGGCAGATTATTAAAATTTTTACTTACGCAATGTGTCTGGCAAAAGATCTGGTCTTTTGCTTCTCATTAAACCGTTGTTTACATTATGATCATTTTCTGATTTCATCGGTTTAAAAGTAGAGCAATTATTGCTCTCTGGTCCCCAAATATCTTCGTAATCACTGACTTTGTCAATTAAAGAGCTCCTATAATACACGCCAGGTGACTCTAGTATATCTGATTCCTAAAATAAAAAATCGTAGTATTTGTAAAACTATAAATGTTTCAATAGTAACAAAACCTGTATTAATCTAATTAAATTATATGTATTCTACATGCTTTTAGTTATTAAATAGTACATTGCACACAATATACATATGTACATATACGTCGTCTGTTATGAATGCGCATGCTAAAAATCTCTCTTGACTATAATTTATGTCATAGAATTCGTATTATATACGTAATAAGTTTTTACATAATTATATTGCGTTAGCGTACTATATGTCTATGTACTCGTATAATATTATGTAACTATTATAATGTATCTCTACCTGATAATGCCTGGACTCCTTTCGTAGGGAGTGTTTACTTCTCCTTGATCTACCAGATGGCGTGGTACTCGTCGTGTTTGTATTTGGCGAAAGAATTTTATCTCTGGCCTTGCCTGTCATAGGGGAGGTGATGCTTTGGTTCGAAGTGGGCGAGAACACGTTCTTATTAGAAACTGGTGAACTTCTAGACACCGGTGAGAAGACCTCGCTCTTGTTAGTCTGACTGGATGGAGAAAACACCCCACTTTTAGAGGATATCGTGTCATTAGACACTGGTGAATTGATTTGACTTGTTGGGGAGAAAATCCCGCTGGTAACGGAATTTGTACCGTTCGGTGATACTAATTGATTGGGGGCGAAGCTGCTTGATTTGGTTAATGAATTGCAAATTGGATCTACAGACTCCGAGGTGTTCTGTGAATGCGACTCTACCGGCGAACCGGGTTCGGTGGTGTTCTGTTCGACCGCTTGCCTTTTAAAGTTCCCGTTTAAGCTACTCGTTATGGTTTTGCCACACTCCCCCTCTGGTGACAGACGTTGCGTCATATTCTATACAGGAACAGGAATAAGTTTTATATCAATTTTCACCTTTCTTTGATTACAACTCCAAATATCAGGTTAGATAAGAAATATCGAGCGATTGGCTTGTATATTACTATATAGCTAAATACTTAAACATGCAAGTATTACACACGCCATGCAGAATCACGTTTAGTGTTTCTTACCTGTGCATCCCCGTTAGATTCTGCAAAGCTTTTGACTGCGTCCATATTGAATGGAGTGGCGGCGTTACTATTATTGTTGGCGGCGTTACTGTTATTGTTGGCGGCATTAGACGAAAGCGTTAGTTGCGACCGATCGTTGTGTGTGCTCCCATTTGTGTGGTTATTGTGAAAGTGTGCGTTGTTGACACTGACTGGTGTTGTCATCGTGGCTATGACGATGCCATTCTGTGTCGACCTGTTGATGGGGCTGAATAAATGCATCTCTGACTTTGGTGATAGAGACATCTTCGAAAAGGGCGGTTTCGCCCATCTCGGTGGCGGCGGAGGCGGTGTTGTCTTTGCACTGGTCGTATGTGTGGGGGAATGTTGTGTGTTCACTGTGGGAAATGTGTGCGGTTGTGTGATAAGAGCCTGAAAAGAGGTTAAGCGTTGATTAACATCGATATGCTGAACAACACCGACAAGCTGCTAGTATTTGAGGCATGGCGTTTACTCACTGTACTTGATATGAGGTTTAGCGTGTTTGGTGGGGTTGGTCTAGGCGCTCTCACAAAGTTTCCGCTTGGCTTCGCTGGCGGCGAAGGGGCGGTTCTCCCTTTAAACGTGCTGAGGCTTTGACTTTGACTCGGTGGGGACTCGGACGCGTCGACTGGCGACATTTTCAATACGACGTTTTGATCCTTATCTGGACTAAATACTCGTTCACGAGATATTGCGCTCGTGCCTGTAATGTTTTACATATTTCGATTTGTTTATTTTGTTATAACAGATTTATTTGCTTTAGTGCAATACTCTCCCTTGCTGGTAGTAAAATTACACTTACTTGCATTAAAACTGCTCAGACTAGATCCAGTATCAGACGGTGTAACAGCCATTGGGACGACACCGTTAGCTAGTTGGCACGGTGACAGAAGATTCTGCGTGTTATTTTTAGGGTTGGCCATTGGATAACCCCAGAATTCTTGACCAAGCAACGTGAGGGAACTGAGCTGTTGTCGGCTTTTAGCCTCTCGCAATGGCCGAGGCAATTGCAGTTGAACGGGTAATTCATCGCTGCAAAATGTTTAGGTACAATAAGTTGAAATTAAAAGTAAATAAATAATAAATATTTAAATAAATATTTTAGGACACTTTATTATTGGAATCTACACATATGTATTTGCCCAGCAGTGAGACAGCAGTAGTCTGTAAAGGCAGATATTATTAATTTAGATACTAATTTAAAAGAAAATGGAAATAGCTAAATTTAATAGTTAATTAAAACATTTAGAAAACCATTATAAAATTAAATTCTACTCTCAATTATTAAGATTGATAAGAAAATAGCTGGAAAAACCACGACACAATGGTTTATATTCTGGTCGTATAGATTTTGAGTTCGGTTTTCTTTGCAAATAATTTTTTCTGCATATTCTTCAAAATACAGAATAGCCTCTTCATCTTAGAGTGATCGTTATGAAAGCTTAGTATATTATCTCTTAGTTGATTCTTTCTCTTACCAGCACTGCGAGTAATGTGCGATCAGCTCTGGGATATTGTCGAAGCGGTTGTGCGATGTCTCTAGGCCGATACGACCACCTGAGGCTTGGATGAGGTAATGTTCGATGTACGGTCCCTTGTCGGCCGGAAGGCGGACGCTTATCGCCATCGTGTCCGGCTGGCTAGATTGACGGACGACGAAATTCTATGGACATAAATAACATATGCCTTTAAGATAAAACAAAATAAAAAACAATGAATCATAAAACTATTTGATACCAACTATTTGATTGCTTCCTTTTCTATTTCGTTGTACATGTCGCCATTTCTAATGTCATATCTAATATAAGGATTCGATAGCTTTATATACATAATATATTAGTTATACACACTTATATATGTCAATCATGTCTTTAAAACCGTATCACGTAAGCAATTAATTTAAAAACAGCAATTAAGATGTAGCTGTAGTTATAATTAAAGAAAATTGGAGAAACCAATTGAAGTGATTAGGGTTTTTAAATGTTCTAACTGTATTTTACTTTAATCAAAAGTACTCCTATTCTGTTCTTGCCAAAAAACGATTTACTTGATGCTTTTTAATGTAACGCAGTAACATTGAAAGAATTACATTTACACATGAATTTTGATACCAATGCGACCGTTTAATTCTGTACAATTGTGGTGCTTAGGAAGTTACTAATGATAAAATAATGAGAGTGATTTGTCATTTTTTTTTGGGAAAATTGCGTGTTTTACAGAAAAGGCGCCTACCTAGATCAATTTAAAAAGCTGATTTATAAAAAAAAAACTAGATCCAATAGTTAGAGACGTTTCCCTATACCATACACAAGAATTGCTTGAATACAAGAATTGTTTTAAGATTGTTAAATATCATTATACTGATAATGAAATCATTATACTGATTATTATTACTGTATTAATATAAGAAAATAAATAATGAATTGTGTTTTATTTATATTCACAATTAAGTCATTAAATTATCGTGTTTCACCCAAATAACTGAGAAACAAACTAGTAGGATGTATCGTACCCCTTCTTCCTTTCCCTGCAGCAAATGGAACGCACCCGCCCTCTGTATGCCGGGTAGGAACCAAACCGGGTGGGTCCTTATCAAACGCTCCAACAGTCCAATGTCGCATGGCGGCTGTTCCTCAGATCCTGACCCTGAAGAGCCAACAGACGAGCAGTCCCCTCGAGCGCCCTCGCCGTCCGATGACAGGCTTTCACGACTCTGGAATTAAATGTTATGAACGTGATTATGAAATATTTACAAATTCACAAAAATAGGATCATAATTTCCTTCAAGCTTTTGATGTGTGTGCTTACAATACACATCCATATACAATCATATCGAAATAAATACATCCTGCGGTAGAGAGCAATGACAATTTTTTTTAAATATCATTAAGCATTTACCGTACATACCGATCATAATTAATTCTAAATTCTAAGCGCCGAATATTAAGATTAAGGTTTAATTTTAGAAATATCATTTCTATTCAAACTGACCACGGGCTTTATTGGCATTAAAAATCCAGATTTATTATGACGTCAATGGTGCTCGATAAATTTCTCAAAAAATGTTTTAAAAAAGTTCTTAAAATATGTAGACATAACTGTCGCAAGATTTTTTGCCGCTGCTATGATAAAACTAAAAAATAAAAATGAATATTTGTAAGTTTGTCCTCAGTGCCCTTTTAAATCATTCCTCCGATTATAACTAAAAAATAAAAATGATCAGAGTTTGTCAAGCGAAGGATGCTCCGATAAAAACATTAAGTTTCGGTTCAAAGCGAAGGATCCTGATAAAAAGAAAGTTTGTTCTACGTATGTAATGTAATGTCTTCTGTAATGCAAAATAAAGAAAGAGAGAGAGTGTTTACAATGCCGTAAAATACTAACATTTTTAAACATATTGTGCAAATTGTGTACATTTGTGCGCAATTACGCATTTATGCACAAAACCATTTAATAACACTGCGATGTGAATTTAATGGACTTGAAAGTTTTGCAACTACAAAAGTCGTTAGGACAAAAGCCTCCGTTAATTATACTTTGCAGCGGCGTTATTAAATACGCCACCTTATTACTTATTCGGTTTCAGTAGCGAGCCGATGAAACGAAAAACTTATGAGTGCGCTCGAGTGTTTTTGAATTTCCCAATTGTTTGAAGATTTTTATGATGATTCAGCTGCATAATTGCAAAATTATCCAATGTGACGATAGATATAAAATGTTTTATGATATAGACAGTTTTCTTTTTCTTCTTAAATTCTAATATTAGCCTGGTTTTCGGTAGATGTAATGAGAACTTGACCTGATTTTCAGAGAAATATTGTAAGTCAAGATAAGATCATTCTAAGCGCAGGCGGCAATACTTTATATTTCAAATAAAAACGTTTCAATTGGCTCTAATTTGGGCAACTTGCCCGCTAGTCTGGCATCGGGCTGATAGCTAGTGAACGCAATTTCGCCGCCTGCCATGCCCTATAGGAGCTCCGTAAATTTTCTTTTGATTAAACTTGGAGTCGGTGCCAGCAAGTTTGGAGCCCTAGGCCGCCATTGGGCACGGAGTTTCCGCAGTTACTGATGCCGACAAGGCGAAAGTTTTAACGATAGTCGTTCAGTTAAACTACTGCGAACCAATAAGAGAAGCGAGATACGGAGTTAATGTAACTGTTATTGTTACATTCGAAAGTAAAGTTGAAACCAACGTTTAGATATGATACCGTAGACCTTTATTAGCACTTTGTGTGAAAGGATTTTAGAAGAGAATAAAAATAGTTAGGTAATAAAAAGGAAGTTATTTCAAGTACAATTAAAATGAGGATATCAATTATAAACAAGTGCAACGTTTTTCCAAATTATCAATTCCAATGACTGAATCATGAATAATACAAAGAAAGGTAGTGTTTTTTTTTTGTACTTATAAATCACTGAAAGCCACCTAGTTTTTTTTAAAAGGGAAACATATATATTATATTTTTAACTTTTATGAACACGTTATGTATATATGATATATACGATGACGTTGGTAAACAAGTTTCAAACTTGAAAAATATACATAATATGTTGACTTGGGAGTTGAATGAGGGTTGAGGGCGGTTAATAAAAGAGAAACATAAAAAATTCATTTCCTTTAACGAATTTCTTCCAATCAACAGATGGTCTTTCCTGAACTATAAATATAACTTAAATATAACTTGGTGATGGTTTGTATAAAAAACATTTCGAAAAAGTTTAGAATGCATTACTATTAATATTTATTACCAATGCACTTGGAAGACAAAATTTGGTGAAAATATATTTTGCGATATATTTCCATGACTCACTTCAAACGGATGCGCGGCTCTTTGTTCAGAGACTTGGAAATATTATAACCCGATCTCCACGCAAAAAGGTTCGCTGGCATTTGATACAAAGAGTAAAATAGGGGCTCCCGGTTTTCCCATTGCATTTGCTTTGGACGGATAAATATTTTCTTCATATATTATTTCGGAAAGGCGTTCGTTTATCGGTTCGCCATAACCCCAAAAATTCCTCATCTACTTTAACGATTCAAACGCCATTTTAAAGCGCACGTTTGTTACTATTGATGAAAAATAACATGTAGAATGAAGTTAGTGTTTTCATAAAAAAATCATTTTAAAACTTATTATAAAAATATATCATAAAACCATCTATTGGCTATTTCTATTTTTCAAAATAAGATACTTACTATATATATATATAAATATTTATTTACATAATATAACCATTTTATGACCGTACTGTGCGTAAATTTCGTAAACAATTTTGAAATTGTTGCCCCGGCCAAAAAGCAAGCAATTTTTTTTTCCATTATTATCCTAAAGTTATTTCCATCCTTTGGCCAAACGCCACTGTCTTCAGATAACAGTTGCGATAATATCTCTAAAATATGTTAAACCGGCTCCGTAATATTTTTATGAATTTCACATAACCCAAATCACAGGCCTGGGTGTTTTCTTTTCAACATCAAGGGTACAAGAAGTGGACATGCAAATTATAGTAAAATTTTAAGAAACATTGTCTTGTGATATCTTTAAAAGTTGTAAAGAAATATTTATTAAGCTACATAAAAATTTATGATCAATTTAAGTTGATGACTCCGTGGCGCAGTTGCCAAGGTATTGGCTCCGGCGTCGGGGGTCGTGGGTTCGATTCCCACACGGGACAACTATTTGTGCGACCCACCGATAGTTGTTCCGCATCTGGGTGTTTTTCCTCATGCAATTTATGTTTGTAAAACGTCCTTACAACACAGGATAATATCCTAAAATCAGGGCAATGTTTATAAAAAAACAAAAAAAAAAGTTTTAGTCATGTCTGCCTCTAAATCTCGTCGTTATCACAATGAGAATAAATAGACCTTGCAAAAATATCGCAATTAGCACGTTTAAGTGCTATAAACAGTTGGAAAGGCCGGCGCAATAAACTTTAATATATTTTAAGCACTAGATTTACGCTCTAGTACTCTGCCACAGCCGGGGAACGTTGGCCGGTAGTTAATTGTGATAAAGCTCGCCGCAGTTAGTTAATAAACCATGGTACTTAGCAACGACGAATCTGAATTGAACGGTTTATTACATAGGATTTAGTAAATGTGGCAATTAATGAAAATGTAGCGTAAATGGATAAAAAGCATCGCGGCATTAACCAGCACTGATAAAATGTTAACTCTAATTTCACCAACTTAATTTCTTAAGTAATTCGTTAAAACTAACACACATGAAAAGAATGTAAGAACAGACACCAACATGATTGTCAAAATATTCACTCAAATTATAAAACAGAAAAAACTAAACTTCACCGATCACAATTCACAATGTAACACATTATTTTAATAGATTGTGAAATACATTACGCATTAAATGATTCTGACAATTTGATATATTCTTCACTGAACACTATATATATACTGTATATATTTCTTATCTATGCTGAACACAATACAATTTCATGATTATATTTTTTTATATTGTTAAAGTCAATATTTCTTTATTCAATAGTCAATAATTTTAAGCTATTATTGAACGTCAAATTGACTTGAACTGTCATCTTATACCAGAGCCCAGACGCTAATCACTGTCATCGTAAACTTTAATTCGTCTTTATAAAATAAAACACGCAATAGTAATCCTTGTTCTTGCAAAGTCACTGTTTAAGCTGTCACGATAAATCAAAACGCACGAGACATATTTTTTCGGCAGACAATTCTGGGGGCGTCCTTAGAGGATTTCTTTTATGAGATTGCTGTCTTATACGACAACATGTTATTCAGCAATGGACGCAACTGCGGCTTATATTTCGAACCCAATGGCGACTCTCTGTTTTCTCAATTTAAAGCAAACGGCATGGACGCTTATGAAAATCATCATCTCTAGAGTATTTTATGGGTACCTTTTTAGGTTATATGAGGGAAAGAAACAAAATATTACGTTTTTCCATGGGACAAACGTCGTAAATTTGACATTAAGATATCGCGGTTCAACACAAACGCCGCATATGATTATTTTATAATGAATAGTTTCTGCGACGTAAACGAAGTGAGTTGGTTACTACGTTTTTTCACAAAACTTTATTTTGAATACGCACAATAGTGATAGTTATATTAGTATTTATAAAATAACGGATTCCTTTTCTTAGGAAATTAGTTCAATGTCTAATTTAGTACTAAATTGACTGTCCTAATTAGGCAGAAAAATTTCCTCCCGTATTTAGAACAGTTTCAAATATTTTGTATATGAAGCTCCAAGTAACTTAGTATATCTGATAGAGACCTTCATGCTTTGGAAGTAATTACTGGAAAGTGAAGTGAACATCTAATTTGTCAGGTAAGATTTGTCGGAGGCGTATCGTGGGACGTAATTTAAGCCGACTGTAATATCGCTGGGAAAGGAAAACCGACGGAAAATTAGTTAATCTAAATTGAGAGTTAATTTGTTACTAGTAGAAGATTGTAAAGCGTATAATGAAGTTTCTAGAAAGCTTTTACTGGGTAAAAACACATGGCAGATTGAAATACTATTAATTATGTCTGTTAAGATTTACCTAAGTATTTTTAATCTTATTGATGCGATTAATAAATGATTTTTATCAAAAAATAAATCATCGTTATACTGATGTGATGTGAGAACAAAGAAATTAAAGTAGCTTATCACAAATCAGACTGAAATATGTAAGCCATTGCAGGTAAAGCGTACATAACAC